AAAAAAAAAAAAAAAAAAAAAAAAAGAAGCTCAGGGAAGAATCAGTCGATTGTTTCTGCAATAAGCCCTTGTAGAGAAACTTCACTCACTTAAATCTGAAGTATGACTTTTAGAATTCTGAAAAATATCTCGTTTTCTATATCAATATATAAGTCTACAGTGGTTTTTACGGATGTTTCGTTGTAGCTACTGAACCATACATCCGATTGACTTGAAACTTGGTATCCATGTAGAAAATACATGTACTTAATGAATAGGATAATATTTATATGAGTGTTGGACTCTCTAATAATAATGACAATAACTAATGTTCATTTTAAATGCCCAGCCAAGCGGGCGAGTACGGATAGTTAATTATAAAATTAATAATATATTTTTTTAATTGTTTTTAAATAGGTATAGTAGCTCAAATTACTGGCGCGCCATCTATCACACACGTCAATTTGACAGTCAAAAAGTCAGTTTGACATTAGACAGTGGAAATAACGGACGTACACAAACATTCACTTTATAGATTATTTTGTACTAATAGTATTATTTGTGCTTGCTCGTTGACATCAACTAGGACTAAAAAAACAACAACAATAGTATTAATATTGTTTTATTAGAATAATGTAACGTATTTTTTTTTTAGTTTTATTAAATGAGGTCTTTTGCGCGAAAGACTCGTCCGAAAAGTCTTCTTCTTCTTCCTAGTCGAATACTTCATTGCTGAAGGTCGTGTCCTTGAAAGCCCTTCGTGGCTCTTTGTACCCTCAGCTTCCATTTGCTTCGGTTTTCGGCTTCTCTCAGGGCGTTCGCAACAGAGAGTCCAGTGAGCGCAGTTATCAGATCCGACCAACGGTATGGTGGCCGGCCGGCGGGTCTTTTCCCTTCTACCTTGCCCACCATAATCAATCTTTCAAGGTTGTCTGGTGGCCATCGAGCAATATGACCAAAGTAATGAAGAACCTTCTGGTAGCAAATCGTCGAAAAGTATTTACTGTGAACTGAAGCAACATGGCTATAATGGCTTAGGCTAGGAACGTATTTCTCTGACGTGGGATGCGTTGAGTTCCAGTAGGTATACTACTAGCTTCTATGTTTAGAAACACATTAGCTGATTGAGTCGCAATCTGAGACGGGTGTCAGACAAATGTATTTCGAATAAGCGGTTCTCAATATCCACTTAAACTATCAGACATATTAAAAAGTAATTCTATTATTCGTCGAATGTAAAGTCGTCGTGGCTTACAGGATAAGACGTCCGGTGCATTCTTATCGAGCGTTGCAACTCTGTCGGAGTTCGAATCCCGCAGACAGGTACAATTTTTTTTAAATGAAATACATTTTTGTTATTCTATTAGCCCACAGATGCCCACTGTTGATCGTAGGCGTCTCTTGCATCCAGCGGATTAATTAAATATATTATAGTTAATAAATATTCACTATTATTTTCGGTGAATGAATAAAGGCGAGTATTAAAAAAAAAATGGAATTAGCTGTGGCAAATCGTCTTGTAAGCCTGCGCGGGTAAGTTCCACTACCCTGACTATTTCTGACGTGAAGCAGTAACGCGTTTCGGTTTGACGGGCGAATCAGCCCTTATACTATAGAACTGAGACTTAGAAACCATGTCTTAAGGTGGGTGGCGGCATTTACGCTGTTCATGGGATCCGATAACTACTTAACACCAGGTGAGCCGCAAACTCGTTCACACGTAAGCAATAAATAAATGTGAATAATAAAATGACGGATTTTTTTTTATTGCTTAGATGGGTGGAGCTCACAGCCCACTTGGTTTTAAGTGGTTACTGGAGCCCATAGACATCTACAATGAAAATGCGCCACCCACTTTGAGATATAAGTTCTAAGGTCTCAGTATAGTTACAACGGCTACCCCACCCTTCAAACCGAAACGTATTACTGCTTCACGGCAGAAATAGGCGGGGTGGTGCTTGGTACCTACCCGTGCGAACTCACAAGAGGTCCTACCATCAGTGATTACGCAAATTATAATTTTGCGGGTTTGATTTTTATTACACGATGTTATTCCTTCACCGTGGAAGTCAATCGTGAACATTTGTTAAGTACGTATTTCATTAGAAAAATTGGTATCCGCCTGCGGGATTCGAACACCGGTGTATCGCTACATACGAATGCACCGGACGTCTTATACTTTAGGCCACGACGACTTCAAAAATAAAATGCCGGAACATCGATTACATAGCAGACAATGTATCTTTAAATTAATTTAACTATAGTCTCGTGAGAATTTCGTACAAGAAGTATAAGATTTTAGTCACTAGACTAAATAAAAAGATTACATGACGAAATATTTTTACTCAATTTTCGGATTTCGTAATTTAATTAATTATTTATTGTAAATACCGTTACACGCGTATATTAACTCTTTGAGTGGTTTTATTATGTCTAAGGTACATACAGAAAAGAGGTTATTATTGCATTAACTTAGTTAAATGTTACTTGTGAAGGCGTTTTATTTTAAATTAAGTTTTGACACTTAATAATTCTGCTATTTATCTGTTATCTGATATTGAACGTAAATCTTCAAAGAAGTAAAACCAAAACAAAAAGCCTCGCGCGTTGCATTAACCAAAATCATAGCGGGTAGCTATGTATATATAAGAAAGTAGTTGTAAAAAGTATATAAAAAGAAATAAAAAGTAGGTATCTAAAACCAAAATTATTCCTCAGAATGCACAGTTAAAGTCGTCGTGGTCTAAAGGATAAAACAATGGGAAGCACTAATGTAAAGATGAAAGTGGGATCCCACACAAATCCTTCTTCCGGAGGATGATTCAGCTGCGTAGTGCATGTAACATGAAAATGCTTAGCAGTGAATAATTACTATACTCAATTTAGAAATCAATCTGTATCATCAACATATAATCAGTTTTTTTGTTTTGAATTAAATTGGATTCAAAAAGAACATTGATCACGTTAAGTCGCGTGTTTGCAATGGGCATCTGTAATTTTATCGAGCCTCGCCGTGTGTTCCAATTTATAATGTCAAAGGCAAAAAAGGTGGTGGCCTTGATTTTCTTTTTTGAAATTATTTAAAGTTACACAATAAAATATATTTGTATACTATAATGATTAGTTAACGCTATAGTACACGCTATATGTAGGAGTAAGTTACACGTGTCTTTTTTTTTCCCTACCTAAGCTGATAAGTTTTGAGAGGCTATTTCAGCGTAATTTTAACTAGTGAGCTCACGGGGCTCAAACCTGACGACGTTGCTGACATGAACTCTAACAAGAGCCGGACTTTGCAAAATCCATCACCGGATCGGAAACGCGACCCACTGAGAAAATGCGGCGAGAAACTCAGTGGGCTGTGTTTGAGGGTTAATTTACTCGTCGAACCCTTGGTCACAAGCGACGGGTTCGACGAGAACGATGACCGGACACATGTCGCTTCTCGTTCTTAGCATCAATAATAACAAAAAATATTTCGTGAAACGCCAAAAATAGCTGTTTGATGTTTCAAATGAATCGGATTTTAAATAAATACACTAATTATATTTGAATATTTAATCAGTCTCGCTTTCTTATATCCGCCTCATATTTTCTTACTTGTAAATGTGATAAGTATTTTATATTAATTTATTAGGTACACAATATACATTACATGCTAATAAGATACAAAAAAATACCATTAAGTAAAAAAATATGAAAAATCAATACATATATGGTAAAATAATAAGCTAAACGAAAGGTATTTTTTTTTTAAATTGGCAACCCTTAAAAGCGCCTAAGTAATTTCTCATGTAAATGTAAGAGCGTTGACAATTTTTCATATAAACATATAATACATATTGCACGATGTAAACAAAGGCAGTATAATACACGGAAAATAATGGTAATTTGAATAATCCTCGAGCTCTCTGATTAACGTCAATCATAGGCTAACCCTTGTGATAAGTAACAAGTTACATCTGATCCCCCTCGCGAAGACGACAAGACGTGCCGCCGTATCTCGTGTGTATTTTTATATATATATACGAGTATACAGTTGTAAAATTATCGATTCCGTCTTAATTAGCGAGTGGCAATTGTAGCGCGGGCCATCCGTCAACCTTTTCCAAGTAGAGAGCGTGAAAAGGTAAGAGCAGCGAAACTGAATGGACTAATTAAATAATTCAGTAATTCGCAGAGCCGCCGGCGACGACGTAAACATGCGTGAGACGAGAAGGGAGGGGCAGGCGGCAGGGGTGCCCGAGGAGGACGAGCACTCGAGGGCATTGGAGGGGCGAGGGCGTGGCCCGTGACGTCACGCCGCGCTGCCTTCAGTCGGTCATCACCCGGCGAACACTGCGGCCGCCGAGGCGCGTCGCGTTTTCATACCCGAAAGTACGAGACAAGTCGCCAAGATTTTCGACCGCCAGTACCACTCCCCCTCCAAGGTGTTGAAGTTGGAGGACGACCCTTGGGGGTCATGTGCCATGTACTCGCCGGATAAGATGAAGTCCGGCGGGGGTCTGATGGCTCCGCCCGGCTGTTTTCCGGGACGGTACAGCCCCACGTACCGGAGCTCCGACCCGCGCCGGTGCGTGCCTAATCCATCGGTGAGTACCGACCACTGTTGCCTTCCGACACACTGTCATCACCCACGGTACGTTCCCGCGTGCAAAACAACAACAAACAAACAACACACCGACAACAGAAACAAACATTTTCAGGAGAACTTCAAGTCTTAACTGGAGCCATCTTCGTGTTTGTGTTTGCTACGCGACTTATATACTATATATTATATATTGACATAAACTTATATATATTATTTAACAGCTAGCCAATGCTATCGCGAGTTTATTTACATGGAGCTCCATGGGGGGATGTTTTGTTTTCTTTTTCAGCTCAGTTTCGCGTGCGTCGAGGTCGTATAGTTCGTAATACGTACAAACTCAATGTCAATATATCATTTTATATATTTTCAAATCAACTGATTAACGTAGCCAGGTGGGCTTGTATGCTCGTCTGTCTAAAAGGGCAATAACAAAAAAACTTGAAAAAAAAACCTCGGTTTTATACGATTTTGAACTGGGGCTTATGGCTGCGACGCACTATGGTTTTAGTGCATTTCTGCATAAGAATTTTTTAGGTACCTATACAAGTAAACAAATTATTGTGTAAAATAGTAACAATTTTGGTTCGGTATAATCGTATCGAGGATAACTCAATATTTGTCAATGTCAATATAAGCAATACGAATGAATAATTTTTTTTCAAAATAATATTTCTACTATCTCGTTCGTATTAATTAAAATAAGTAGTAATTACATCTCACCCTTATAATAATATTTTTATACTTTAAAGACACCAAATGGAATATCAATTAAATATAATGTTTGAATAATTATTTCACAAAAAAAAAATTATCATGCGATTTTAGTTTGCATAATCAATTGTAGAATCAACATAACCTCATTTGCATTCATTTATGTGAAATAGAAAAACGTAAAAACTTCCACTGAATAACAATTCACAATATTGTTTGTTAATTTTTTAGACGAAAATATAGTGCTTGAAGTTGTACACAGCAAATGTGATACAATTTTTTTTAAATTACAAATGGCGCCAAATATTTTAATATCACTTCAAAACTGGTTTCAAAAAGATATATTTTATGTCAAGTGATTGCTAAAATATAATATTATTTAGAATCGCATTTACTTTTAATTTACTACTAACTTACTCACTTAACCTACGATTTTATAATATAACCTATAAATTTGAAAATCCTTCTCAGATAAAATTTACAATTAAAACAATAAATTACCTTACATTAATCGTTATATACATACTTGTTAGGTACACTAATTGTGAGTTTTAATGAAATTATAGAATTAATTTGTGATTACCGAAAAAACTTTAAAGAAAAAAATCAGGCTCTAATTCAAATTGTATTTATATTTGTTCAAAATAACGAGGTACGCGTAGTATATTAAAATATGAGGTTCGGTTTTAGTTGACAGCGGAGAAGCCGATAAAATGCCGACGGCCGACGGCGATATCGGCGGACTACGACGAGTCCAGCCATACACGCATGCTATTATTCACTACACTACACAATTAATAAAATGATCATCAAGAATGAAGTAATTTTTCTTATAGTAAAATTATCATAAAGGGTTTCAAAGTGAATATTAATTAAATTCAATTTGCATTTGTAAGTTTTGTCAGCTGGTATCTAAAGCATAGGCTAACTTCAAACATATTTTACGCTCTTGACCCATCGCGATAAGGTCTAACGTGAAGTATGTTCACGAGAGCTCACGTTCAACATTTCACTGATCTTTTTGTGTTGTTAGTGACGTGAGCGACGGCAGCATTTAAATAAACTTGTTTGTCTCCTTAAAAAATATTAAATACAAACAATCTTTGTTTTTTTCGCGTAAGTTAATTTTCATTTAGATATTCATTGCCGTGTGTTTGAAATAACAGTAATGAGGGTCCAGCGATAGTGCATAAATGTATAACAGCACTTTGGATATACGCAATAAACGAATACAGTAATCAAATATCGATCGTAAACGAATTCAAACGAACGTATAATTTCAATAAGGGTCAATTTTCACATCGGAATTATCGTTTTTCGCACTGAGACCGACGGCGTAGCGGAAACTGCGTAGACCCGCTACGACTGCAACCGGTAATTCTAAATTAACCGCTACGACTTTGCTTAGTAATTTCAGAAAAATAAACATAGTGTTTTTTGAAATTTCTTTTTGCTTTTAGGACATTCTGAAAGACCATTGTGGTACGATATAAAAATAAAACCATTGTATACACTTGTTAGAAAAGTAAATTTTGAATTTCACGTAGCGTTTTACTTTACTTTGCCTTATAATTTTAATCTTCAAACAATAGTAATTAGTTTTTCTTCAAATTAGATAGCGGCGTCCTAATTAAAAATATATGGAGGTTAAATCGGATATTAAATTTCAAGCGTGTACTAATTAGTGGTGGATACGATTGTAGTAAATTTAGTTTAGGTTGATTTATATTAAAATCTTGATATGTATGTTTATATACGTATTTCTTTTATTAGACCACGAAAATTAAATAATACAAAACATTAAAAGTGGCCACTAAAAATAGAGAAACGACTTGTCTAAATTAATATTGTAATTAATTAAAAAAAAATTATGACTATTAAATTCCGATTTTTGCGTTACATTAGGAACACAATGTCTGTTCGATTAAGTAACAATAATTGAAATACTAAATACATACATAACAAAATGCTCAGATGGGAAATTAACAATGCTTATTTAGAAGTTATTAACTGTTTAAAACTTTAATAACTAGACGGATTTTGTTGTTTTAAATAGGAGATTAATGTTAATAATTTGAAAACCGGTGTGATAAAGCCGAAGTGAATCGTTGTCGAAATTAACTGTAAATATGAGTTGTTACTTGTGTTAGGGAATAAGCCAAGGGCGCACGGATAGGTTCCACCACCCTGGCTTATGGTACACTTCCTCGAAACAGTCATACGTTCCAGTCTAAAGTATCGAACAGCCATTGTCTAACACGATTGGATCGTGACTTTAAATAGATAAATATGAAAATGCTTGGAATTAAATAAAAATAACAATTTTGTTTTTCCTTTGATGTGTCCCCCGTTGGACGGATTCCTTTTGTTTGTTTTAAGTTTATTTTATACAAAAGCTTAGGTCTTTTATTTATCGATTGAGGCACGATGAAGTTTGCCGAGTCAGCTAGTTAAAAAAAACACAATATCAAGTAGCCAGTTTTGTTTTAGCGAAAAAGGACTTAATTTAATAAAATTCAGCTAGTTAAAAAAAAACACAATATCAAGTAGCCAGTTTTGTTTTAGCGAAAAAGGACTTAATTTAATAAAATTCAGCTAGTTTTTTTTTTTTTTTTTTTTTTTTTATTGCCCTTGTAGGCAGACGAGCATACGGCCCACCTGATGGTGAGTGGTTACCGTCGCCCATGGACTTCAGCAATGCCAGGGGCAGAGCCAAGCCGCTGCCTACCGCAACAGTTAAAAAAAACACAATATCAAGTAGCCAGTTTTCTTTTAGCGAAAAAGGACTTCATTTAAATAAAAAATACAATTTCACTGTCACATTGTTTTTGTACGTACTACGAACGAATCTTTGTTTCGGATTCACTACAGTATTAATGCTTTTTTATTTACAGGAGATACTCAAGGACATGACAAAGAAAAAACAATCCTGCCTTCATTTCAGCTCTTTTATTGACATAACTAATAATAGATTTTAGTGCCAATTAATGTCCGTCGTGGTGAAATGATCGTCCAAGTTTACATGGTCTTCAGTTCGTCTATATAAATTGATTCCAAAAATAAATATAATGGTGATCGAAATTGCTCTTAAACTAAGACTTGATTAGAACAAAATAAATAGTCGTGCCGTGTCGTCTCGTATAGTGGAAATAGATTCAAACGACGAACACCCGAAAACATATAAAAAATCTACAACTGTCGTTGTCTGTTGCAAAAATAATTTACTTTAAAACGTTGAACCGTATTAAATGGTCGTGCCGCGTGAATTATGCGCGATATAAAGTATATGACGTCATAACGTGTAACGTCATTGTTCATGAACAAATTCGAAGCTATGCTTAATTGAACTATAACTTTGTTTCGCAAGCACAAAATTTCATATTATTAAATATGAAAATTTGATATGATGAATATGAAACAAACTGAACTTCACAATACGTTTATACTGAAATGTATTATAATCGTAATGCATTTAAACACAAAATCTAATGATACATATGAGTATTAAGGAACAGGGTAGTACTTCATTTTAAAAATGGACGCGCTAACTTGGTTAAACATCATGGCAACTCGTCATGGTCTGTGACGTCATTTGGGGTCAAAATATGCGACGAATCGATACCATCGATCACAGATTAATCCACGCCGATAATAGCTACAAGTGACGTCACGCGCTTCAGTTACCGCGAAAAAATATAAAAATTGATATAGATTTAAAATCGAAATCATTAATGTTTCACGAAAATATTGGTTGAAGGATCGTTTTTAATTTTAGATTGTATCCGCTCGCCTCTAGTGGACGTATCAATTCATTTGTTTCCGGAATAAATCATAAGTGATTCTATGAACTGGTTTACGATACAAAACATATAGTTGGGGCTTCATACATTTTATAACAGGACACAAGTGTAGCCGAGTTGGCAGTGTGCAGTTTATGAATTGGCTTAAACTATGATTTATATGGTAGACTTAGAAACGTAACCTCAAAGCGACAACAGAATTAGAATTAAGGATTGCTATGAGATGATTCCGTAATTTTCTATTTAAAATCTCAACGAAGCCACTGAAGTAGAATTCATCTGTTGTTTGAAGACTCATTTACGGCCTGTTTCCAGAGCTAGTTTCTAGTATAATCTGGACTACTTTGTAGTGAGCTCTCCTTTCTGATTCTTGTAGAGCGCTATGACACGTTCCCTTTCTTTTTCTTGTCCTTATCCCAGATTAAGTGGGGTTGAAGCAGCATCTCCTCTTAACATGCCGCATCAGGATTTGGCACGAGTTTCAAAACGG